TTCTCGTTCTTTCTCCCTCCTGCCTCCCTCTCTTCCTCCTTCTCCCTCCCTCACTTCCTCCTCCTCCCTCCCTCACATCCCCTCCTCCCCCCCCTTACTTCCTTGTTCCACCTTCCTCCTCCTCCCTCACTTTCCTCCTCCTCCCTCCTTCACTTCCTCGTTCTTTCTTCCTCCTCCTGCCTCCCTCTCTTCATCCTTCTCCCTCCCTCACTTCCTCATCCTCCTTCCCCCCTCCCTCAATTTCCTCCTCCTCCCTCCCTCACTTCCTCGTTCCATCTTCCTCCTCCTCCTCACTTCCTCCTCCTCCCTCACCTCCTCCTTCTCCCTCCCTCACTCCTCCTCCTCCCTCCCTCCCTCCCTTACCCCACACCCCAATCTCAGCCCCTCGCTTCTCCCTCCACCAGGCTGCCGTGTTCATCTACTACGCCGTGGACATGGGCGTGACAATAGGACCCAACGGCCCGTGTCCCACCTACTCCCCTCTCGTGTACCATCCTCAGAGGCGATACGAGGCTTGGCGTTATGTGTCTTACGCCTTGATCCACTCTGGGTAACAAGACCCATGTTTATGCGCTGCTGTTGGCGCGCGCGGGGCTTTTATGGGCATCGCCTTGTTCTTGTGCTTGGTCCCGTCCCGTTTCTTAATCTTATTGCCGTTATGTGGTGTCATTTTTTATATTATTTTTATTTTTATTATTATTATTATTATTATTATTGTAACTGTTTTTGCTATTGCTATAACTTTTTGTTGTTATTATCATTATAATAATAATTATTAATATCATTATTATTATTATTATTATTATTATTATTATTATTATTATTATTATTATTATTATTATTATTATTATTATTATTATTATTATTATCATTATTATTGTGATGATAATAATAATAATAATTATTATTATTATTATTATGATAATGATGATAATATAATAATGATAATTATCATTATTGTTATTATTATTATTATTGTCATTATTATTACTATTATTATTACTATTATTATTACTATTATTATTACTATCATTGTGATTATTATCATTATCATTTTTAGCATTACTGTTATTACTATAATTATTATAATTACTGTTATTATCATCTATACTGTTATTGTCATTATTATTGTTATCATTACTATCATTTCCGGATCTAATCTTTTGACTTTTGCAACGTTATTAATAATAGTCGAAACATAATACCATGGATAAAGAATAATGAATTAGTTATGCGAGAATAATGTTCTTTTAGCCAGTATGATATCGTCATATATATAATTTTTTAATTCTTTGCATAAATAATGAGATCTGGCTCGTCGGCATCATCAATAGTTGCATGCACGGCTCTGCAGAGGTTAAAGAGCACATTCAGTTCTCACATCAAGGCTCTGGCATGTTGACCGTGAATGGTGGAGGCTTTCGAAAGGTCACGCTCTGTTATTGGATTAATTAGATGGCGCAGGGTGTTCGGTGGGAATCTGTCGTCTCTGTTCACGCACGTAAAAAAAACAACGATATTATCATCATCAACATGATTATGATTATGATGATGATCACCATCGTTACCACCATCACCATCACGATCAACATCACGCTCATGACCATCACGATTATCACCATCACGAGCACCATCACCATCAAGATCATCGCCATCACGATCACCATCGTTACCACCATCACTATCACGAGCATCATCACCATTGTTATCATTACCATCACCATCACGATCTCCATCGTTACCATCACCATCATGATCATCATCATCATGGTCACCATCACCATCGTTATCACCAGAACAGCAATAAAATCCTCTCATACAGATAAAACACAAAAATGTAATAAAAGAAGACAAAAGCTTAAAAGTATAAACAAGAAAGACAGACAGAAAAGACAAGAATCGAAATAAAACAAAACAAACAGATAAATAAACGTAAAAGAACAACATACTTACCCACACACAAAACAACAACAACAACAACTTCTAACCCCCCTTCCCCCTCCCCCCCTCCCCTCCCTGCTCCCTCCAGGTGGGTCCACTTGGTGAACAACCTCGCAGTCCAAGTGTTCTTCGGGATCCTGCTGGAGATGGTGCACAGGTGGTGGCGGGTCATGGTCGTGTACATGTCGGGCGTGGCAGCCGGAGCCCTCGCCCACTCCATATTCACGCCCACCGCCTTCCTGGCTGGGGCGTCGGGCGGGGTGTATGCCGTGGAATACGCCCATCTCGGTAATTTGTTGATGGTGAGTTGATGGAGTTGATTAAATGGTGGTGTACTTGCTATAACGGGCGATTAGGTATTATGTCTAGTTTATAGAGGGATATGTAGGTAGAATGATATAGAGAATTAAACAAAAATTCAAATGTGTAGAATAATGTATTTAATCATGCTAGCAACTTTAGTGGAGTAAGCTGACATTTTTCTTTTTTTTTATATTCTTATAATTTTGTCTTTGTCTCATTCTTATCTCTATGTTTCTCTTCATTCTTATTCGTATCA